CGGCATCCTTTCCATTTCACATCTCTTTAGTGAGTACTTCAAGCTCCAGACTTCTCCATCTTTTTCATCATTAAAACTTCTCTGTTCAAATCTCTCTCCCCTCAAATATCATGCTATGTTTTCAACTGATTAATAAGACTAATGAATTGGCGCCAAAATAATTCTTCTTAGGTAATATATTTTGTATTAACTAGAACCTAAATTGGCTTAGCCTGCAGGTGGAGTCTGGTGTGGGAATTTAGGGGAGGTGAGCCGTGGGGAGGTCCCACAAGAGGAGCGTGTGTGTGGGGCGGGGAGTGGAGCGGTGCAGGGAGTGGGTGGGGAGGGGCCCCCTCTCACTGGCCACCTCACCCATGGGACCCTCCAGTGTCCTTTCTCATGAATCCTGGACAAACAGGATCATTTAGTGCTTAGCTTACACATGCCCCGAAGGTGAGTAACACCAGAAGAGTTAGTCATTAATATACATTTTGGGTTTTTGTCACAAGAGTGTGAGTAGCCCAAATTCAGAAGTTAAACCTGACCTTTCCTTTCAGCAGGCAGCGGGAACCTGAGGAGAATTCTCCTATCACTTACCCAGGCCGAGCAGTGACACCTTAAACCCGGGCTCTGATTTGCTCCTCAGGAGCAACTACACCCTCTTGCACCTTAGCTTACATGGACTAATGTATTCTACAGGCAGACGTGGAGCCTGCTCAGTGTGAAGCGGCTGAGGGGACCGGGTAGGGGAGGGCGTGCCCGTAGTTCCAGGGAAAGGGGAGGACAGTGCACGCAGAGTTAGGGCAACTCCCTGCTGTCTCTCACAGGAGCGTCTCTCTCTATTGTATCCCCATCTTAAAGCTTTTCCATGGACTGTGATAGTGATGGGTAGACTGAAAATAACCAAAGGCAAATTCTATTCTGCTTCCCTTTCTCTAAGTACCAAACATGAGAAAGCCCTGAAAAAGGAGTGCCTCTGTTTCAGAACGTGCACCAGCGGTACTGGAGATATCGGGAGTGTGTGTGTGTGTGTGTGGGGCGGGGGAGAAACACATGGAAAGTCACCCCATGCTGTACACTGAAACCAATACAGAAGAATATTGAAAGCAAACTGGAATTGAAACAGACAAATTAAAAAAAGAAAAAAAGAAATGTTGAGATTTATAGATTTTAAAGCACTAATACTGGTCCACTGGTTCGCATATGCTTAAGCATTGCCTACCAAACCCTTACAGGAACCACCTGTCGGTTCCAGAACACCACTGTGCATTCTCACCTCCTGAAAGGACGCTTCTGTTCAGAAGATTTTATTTTCTGTCAGATTTACAGGCAAAGAGCACAGACTTAATAGGATTTTCTAGAAATTATTACTTTGCTGGTCAGAAACTCATCTGAAATTCCAAATGTAAGAAATGAGTAACTCCAGCCTCTGGCCCATCTCCTCCCTCCCTTGACCCTGCTCCTAGGCCAGGAGGGGCCCTTGGCTCCTGTCTTTCACGTTGCATGTCACAGTGCTGCCGCAGATGACAGTCGGGCAGTGACTTGTTTAGCTGCTGCTTCCACGATGTGCTAGTAAAATCCAGTGAATAACGTAATCACTGGGGAAATAGACAATTAGGGACCCAGTAGCAGCATAAGCTATGAATGTGACCAACAAATGGCACCCACTGGCCAGTGGGCAGGTGGCACCAGCTCCCAGAACAACTTGAGGGAGTTCCCTTCGCTCAGCAGGGTCCGTCTATGCCATGTATTTTCCAACATCCAAGTGTATGATCACAGGGGAGAATGCAGGCCAGGACGTTCAAATAATGAGAAGGGGGGAAATGGCCTTGAATTCACGCTGCATCGGTAGCTTGAATTCATCAGCCAAATTGTTGAACTGCGTCTATTGGCTAAAACTTTAGGGATTGTTACTTATGAAAATGAAAACAGACACACAAAGTGAGATAAGAAGATAGTAAATATTTTTGTACCAGAATTCTTTCAGCGCCGTAATTTTTATATTACTAGTGTTCTGTATACTATATTAAGATTGTATATACTTAAATTATAAATCCTCCTTTACAATGTTTATTAAATTCTTACCTTTTTTTTTCTTTCTGGAGAGAAAGTCTATATTTTGTGTTTTTTAGAATAAAAACTACTAAAAAATAATCAGGTTCTTAAGAGTAATCTGGAGAAAGAAATCTGCCTTTAGGAAGGATATTTGTATTATTACTGAGATCTATAACTCTTTAACTACTTGCTTTAGTTTATCTTCCTCTCCCCTGAAAACCTTACAAACTGAAATGCATGTCTCCATAGCTGTTTTCTATGAGAGAGAGATCTGTGTTTAGAAAGAACTTTGTTTCGGGGTGAGGGGAGAAATGACTGACTGTGAAACTCCTCAGCTGACAGGAAACGGGATGACGATAAACCAGACAGAGGCCAAATGGCCCAGGACAAATGGGGCTGGCCGGCTGGGGCAGGTAGGCCGGGCCACCTGCCACCACTAACAGGCTCTGTCCCAAAGCAACAGTATTTTTTTCCTCTGCGTGTCCCCTTCCCTCACCTGTTTATTTGCAAGGACCGTTCAGAGCCAGGAAAAGGGGATGAGATGTACTCAGAAGCCAAGGTTGGAGGAGGTGGAGGTGCCCTTCAGTATTGATGGCCTCGATGCAGACAGATCAAAAGCCAAATCCAATTTAGCCCGCCCCGGGCAGGATCAGTAATTGAATTAAACCTCCTCTAAATATGATAAGTTTGGGGGCTTTAAAGCCAGGCACAAAGAACCAGGTTGGAGTAAATGGACGCAGGGAGCTGGGTGAGCCGCTGCTTTGCCGCTATCGTTTACTACTGAGGCTGAAAACTGATTAAGCTGCTTATGGGGCTCCGGGGGCTAACGGTCTGGCCCACCACGATTTATGTAAGTGGCTTGGCATGTATGGTTTGATTATTATGAGGAAAAGAAAAGGAGATAGGGGAAGATAGCAGGGTATAGGAAAGCTTTAAAAAGCAGGTTTTATTATGTCAAGTAGGTGTACTGTGTTGGCGCTGTAAAATGAACATGGAGTTACTCTGATTCTTTCTCTTCATCTGGTGTCAAAACTCTTGTAAGAAAGGCTTCCTCAAAGGGGACTCACTGTGGAGCCCACCTGTTTTTTTGTCAGCCACCTCTACAAGAATACACTTCTCAAGGGATAGTCTGGTCCTCAGATACTACGATCAGGAAAAGGCCTAGAAAACAGATAAGTGCGTCATGGGTATTTTCATCATGATTCCTCTTGAACACCACTGGGAAATCACAACTGAAAATACAGGTGGCGGGAGCATCATCTCGTTCAGGGTCGGTCCCCAGTGGGGATGTGTTCAGGAGGCAACAGATCGATGTTTCTCACATCAGTCTTTTTCTCTCTCCGTCTCTCTCCCATCTTCTCCCTCTAAAATTAATAAAAACATATTCTCAGGTGAGGATTAATAATAATAAGTAAAAATCTATCCCTTTCCACCCCAGCCAGCAGACTGCTCGCTGCAGCTTGATCATGCAGCAATGGGCAGGCAGACCTGGAGGAGTGCAGGGAGCTGATAGGTGCAAATAGGCTTAAACTCAATACCCAAGTGAAATTAAAACTTTAGTGTTCTCTCAGACCTCCCCTACTAAATGCTCTAAAAGTGTTTCTTTCATTTAAAACAAATTTCCTACCTTTTAAGGGACAAAGAGAACACAAAAGTCTTAAGTTTAAACTACAATTAGGATTTTTTTTTTTTTTGTCTTGAAAAATGACTTAAGGATCTGTAGCTTTCCAGTTGACCTCGTTTCTTCTGGACGAAACAACCAGAGAGGAAAACAACAAAAGAGCAAAATCACAGCAGTTGGAGATGTTCTGGAAGTTGTCATCATTACTTTTTAAAATTAACTCTTGAGAGAATTAATAGATATGCCTTCATGTAGTGTCGTCTTAGGGAGGGAGTTCCTGATTTAAAGGATTAAAACAAAGCTTAACATTTTCAGAACTTTGGGTTGAACAGACAAATGTCAGTTTTCTTCCTGGCTGCTACCTTGTCAATCATTAAAAGAACATACACTGACAAAAGCATAAAAATGTTATTTTTATTCTTACATACTTTATGTGTTATTAAAATTTACAGTCACCCATCTGTGTGGCTTGAGCACAAAGAGCGTAATAGCCACTGCTTTTATATCTTTTCTCCTCGTTTTTTACTGAGATATAACTCACATACCATAGGACTTACTCTCCTGAAGCATCCAATTCACTGGTCTCTAGCATGTTCACAAGGTTGTGCCACCACCACCACCATGTAATTCCAGAACATTTCCAACATTCCCAGAGGAAATCTCGGATCCGTGCAACCCCCCTCATCCCCCTATTCTCCCAGGCCCTGCCAACCGCTTGCCAATTCCAGGGATTTGCCTGTTTTGGACATTTCATTTAAATAGATCATAAAATACGTGTTCTCTTCTGTCTGGCTTCTTTCAGCATGATGTTTTCTAGGTGCACTCATGTTGCAGCATGCATCAGTACTGTTCTCTTTACGGCCAAATAATATTCCATTGTATGGATATAAAAAAAACCTGTGTTTATTCATCAGTTGACGAATATTTGGGATGTTCCCATTCTTTGGTTATTATGAATATGCATGTACAAGTAAGTGTTAAAGTGAACATGTGTTTTCAATTCTGTGGGTGCATATCTAGGAATGAAATTGCTGGGTCATATGGTAGCTGTTTAATGCTTTGACGGGCTGCCAGGCTGTTTTCCACAGTGGCTGCACCACTTTGCATTCCCACCAGCAGTGTATGAGCGTTCCAATTTCTCTGTGCCCTTGCCAACGTTTGTTACTGTCCTGGAATATCTTTTTATACTGTTTATTTTTTCCATTATGAGTAGAAATCAATCGATTATCAGGGCTTACAAAGAGAACTACCCCAAAGATGGCAGAATTCAGTGCCAAGACCACAATACACAGAGGCACTCCCCCAGGGAGAAGAGAGAAAAGAAATGGCCCCGCTGAGTACCTACCTGCTGCAGATCGGCGAGGGAATACAGGTGGATCTGCTGAAGGAGGTATTCTCTGGGGAAAATTCTGAAAACAAGGACAGAAACACACATGACCTGTGGTGCTGCCACAAAACACCCTGTTCTGATAAGTTTCAAAGTCTCGTTCCAAGATCCCTCTCGTCTGCCTGCTCCCCTGTCCCCTGTGCTCCTCCTCACACCCTCTGCGAAGTCGGTAATCATCCCTTTGTTCAGATCTTTGTCTTCCTCACACGGAGGTAAACGTTTGATCTTGGATTTCTTCTGTAACCCGAGGTGCTGGCAGCACCGTGTAGTGGTCCAGGCCCAAGGGCCGCAGCACCCAGCTCTTCTGCCAGCCAGGTCCCTGACAAGTGTGTCATCTCGGTAGACTGAACTCCATCCTCTAAGTATCCTTCCAGCCCCATTATTCTAAATCTAAATTAATAGATGTGAGTTGAGGAAATCAGTGGAGTGGCCACTTGTGTGTCTTTCGTCTGCAGCCGCCTATGTGTTTCATTAGTAGGGACATAATGCTCAATATCACACCAACGGACTACCCTCTGAGATGTATAGTAATAGTAAGTGTGAAAACCTAGGCACAAATGGGAATAATGGCACAACACAGTTCAAACTGGGACTCGCTGACAAGGTCCAATATCTTTGGCTGCTCTCAGTTCATGGCATCTGGATAAATGACAGTGAGTGAACTTAAAAAAACACAAACACACCCAGTAGAATATGGATAAAGATATAGGGACCAAGGTATAGGTGGTTAGAAACTACACCCCCCCCCCTACACACACACAAATAAAACAAAACTCATGGTTCTCACATTTTCTGTCTTTTAATGGTACTATGCAATTTTTGTGTGTCCTCAATGAAAGAAACCACCAATTTATTTAACATTTATAATTGTCCACTATGTGCCAAGCACTGTGCCAGGCACTAGGAAGATAATTATGAATAAGACAATCATAGTATTTGAGTTCAAGAAGCAGAAAGTCAAGTTAGGGAGAGGTACATACACTGGTAATTGCAATATGTGTGGTTATTGAAAAGAGAGCTATGCGTTGGGTATTTATTTATGGAATGGTCTAACATGGTGGGTCCCAAATCTGGCCATCTATTAGAATCACTTGGGGAGCCTTTAGAAAATCATAGGGCATAAGCCTGGGTAGATCCCAGAAATCAGAGTTAAAAGAAATATCCCCTGGTAACTAGGGCAGCCAAAGTTTATTCCACTGCCCTATTCTTCATCCAGCTCACTGGGAAACTCATTATTCAGCCTTTCTATTAAGTATTATATGTATTACTTGACAAATCCTAGAGATTAAATCATTTATCCCTTTACCTGGCTTCCCCTAATATTAACATTTTACTCAACCAAGTACATTGATCAAAACTAAAAAATAAACTATTATGTAAATTATACTTTATTCAGATTTCACCAGTGATTTCACTAATGTCCTTTTTCTGTTCAAAGATACAATCCAGAATATAGCATTGCACTTATAGATTAAAAAAACACACACACAGTCTCTCCCACCCCCATCCAGGGTTTCACTTCCTATGGTTTCAGTTACCCCAGGTCCCAAAATATTAAATGGGACATTCCAGAAATAATTCATAAGTTTTAAATTGGGCACCGTTCTAAGTAGTGTGGTGAAATCTCACACTGCCTTGCTCTGTCCCGCCTGGGATGTGAATCATCCCTCTGTCCAGTGTGTCTATGCTATGTGCTGACCATCCTTTTGTCATTTAGTAGCTGTCTCAGTTGTCAGACTGACTGTGGCGGTGTCACTGTGCTTAGGTTCAAGTCACCTTATTATAACTGTCCGATTTTATTATTGATCTCTTACTATGCCCAATTTGTAAATTAGATGATCGTAGGTATGTATGTATAGGAAAAACATCGTGTGTGTGCGCACACGCGTGCGTGCGAGAGTGTGTGTGTGTGTGTGTGTGTGTGTGTGTGTTTATGCATTTTCAATAAGACTGGAAGGAAATGCAGGACACAGTCTCTCAGTGGGACTACGAGGACAGCAATGTGCCAAAATCTAACAAGGGATGGAGGGTGTTTGAGCACAGTTGAATGGAAGGCATAATCTTTGTCAAAGGAGACTGCTTATTAACAAAATCCCTTAAACAAGGTAAAATGAAAACAATGTGGCAGCAGGGCTGACAAATGGAGACAGAGTGAGCCAAGTGAGTAGGCTGGAAAATCGTTTCAAAATTAGCTTCCGCTGCTTCCACTGGTTTGTAGAAACCTGGGTCAGCTACAGGAAGAGTCAGAAGAAGGAAGGCAACGGAAATGAACATCAGCAGGGACAAGTGCAGGGTAGCATTTCTATAATGTTTTGCTACTTAAAGTTTCTTCTGCTCCACACCCAAACATTCTATAACTGAGAGCACACAGGATATAAGAATTATTTATACATTTACAAACCAAATATTTACTCCTTTACTAAGGTACTATAGCCAGTCAAGTATTTAGTCAACAAACACTTAGTGAGGACCGAAAATAAGACAGGTGAGTGCTAACTGCTGATATGTCAGTGTCCACAGTTGATGAGCAATAAAGACAATGTCCAGCTTTTAAAAAAAGTTATTAAGGTACTAGAGGCCCGATGCACAAAATTCGTACAAGGGACTCAGCCCTTGCAGCCCTGACTTCGTCCAGGTCATCCGGAAGGACATCCAGAAGGTCGTTCAGCTGCCAGTCTAATTAGCATATTATGCTTTTATTATTATAGATTATAGAAGATAATTGACATATACCATTACATTATACAGGGTGGGGCAAAAGTATGTTTATAGTTATTCACAAGGAAAATAATATAATAGTTAATAAATAATACAAGAATGAACTCTGTTTCACATATTACCTTGGCCCCACCCTGTATTAGTTTTAGGTGTATAATGATTTGATTTGTACACACTGTGAAATAATCACGACCAGAAGTCTATTTAACATCCATCATATATGCAACACAGCGCTATTAACAATAATCTCATGCTGTACATTATATCCCTATGACTTACTAATTTTATAACTGGAAGTTCATACCTTTTGACCCCTTCACCCATCCCTACACATACACACATTTGGCAACCACCAATCTGTTCTCTGTATGTATGAGTTTGGTTTCTTTGGTTTTTGTTTTTCGTTTTGCTTTTAGATTTTTCATATAAATGAGATCATATGGTATCTGTCTTTCTCAGCCTGACTTATTTCACTTAGCATAAACCCCTCAAAGTCCATCCATATTGTTGCAAATGGCAAGTTTTCATTCTTTTTTATGGCTGAATTATGGAGGTCCGGTGCACAAGTTCATGCACCAGTGGGGTCCCTCAGCCTGGTCTGTGGGATCAGGCCAAAATCTACTCTCCTACATCCCCCTAGGGATCCCGGGTTGCAAGAAGGTGTAGACCAGGCTGAAGGACCCTACTGGTGTGTGAATGGAGAGACACAGGAGGTTGGCCAGCTGAGGAAAGACTGTGGGAGGGCTCCAGGGTGTGTCCGGCCCCGTCTTGCTCAGTCCTGATCAGCTGAACCTCAGCAGCAAGCTAACCTACCAGTTGGAGTGTCTGCCTCCTGTTGGTCAGTGCATGTCATAGTGACTGGTCGACTATTCGACTGCCACCTGGTGGTCAGTGTGCGTCATAGTAAGCAGTTGAGTGGCCTTAGCATATCATTAGCTTATTACATTTTGATTGGTTGAATGGTCGACTGGACACTTAGCATATTAGGCTTTTATTATATAGAATAGGATAATATTCCATGTATATATACACCACATTTTGTAGTTGTTTCCATAACTGGCTATTGTAAATAATGCTTCAGTTAACATATATGGGGTGCATATATCTTTTTGTTTTCTTCAGATAAATATCCAGAAGTGAAATTATTGGATTATATGGTAGTTTTATTTTTAGTTTTTAAGGAACCTCCAACTGTTTTCCCTAGTGGCTACACCAATTTACATTCCCACCAACAGTACACAAGGGTTCCCTTTTTTCCACATCTTCACCAATACTTTTTTTTTTTTTCCTTTTTTCTTCTTTTTATTGTATTTATATGGTAAGATGTATGTTAGGTGAACCTACTGTGGTAATCACAATACATGTAAACCAAATCATCAAGCTGTATACCTTAAGCTTACAGTGATGTATGTCAATTACTTTTCTCTTTTTAGAATTGTTGGCAGTATTACAGATGTCTCCCGTTCTCCCCACCCCTTTATCCACCTCTGCCCAGCCCCTAACCTCCCACCCTAGGTATTTTTAACAATGGCCGCTCTGACAGGTGTGAGGCAATATCTTATTGTGGTTTTGACTGAATTTCCCTGGTGATTAGTGATCTTGAGCATCTTTTCATGTAACTGTTGGACACTTGGATGCCTTCTTTGGAAAATGTCTATTTAGATCTTCTGCCCATTTTTAAATAAGATTGTTTGTTGTTGTTTGCTATTGGGTTGTATGAGTTCTTTATGTACTCTGGATATTAACCCTTTACCAACTATATGATTTGCAAGTCATTTTCTCCTATTCAGTTGGCTGCCTTTCATTTTGTTAAAGGTTTGCTGTGCAGAAGCTTTTTAGTTTGATGTAGTGCCACTTATTGATTCTGGCTTTTGTTGCTTTGGTGTCAGATTGAAAAAAAAAACACAACACAAAAAACATTGCCAAGACCTGTGTCAAGAAGCTTTTGGCCTAGGTTATCTTCTAGGAGTTTTATGGTTTCACATCTTATGTCCAAGTGTTTAATCCCTTTTGAGCTAACTTTGGGTCTGGTATTAAGAGACTGGACCCATTGCATCTTTTGCACGTGGCTGTCCAGTTTTCCTGACGCCATTATTCCAGCGGCTGTCCTTTCTCTGTTGTATTTCCCTGGTCCTATGGTCATAATTTACCATGTGGGCATGGATTTCTTTCTGAGCTTTTCCTGACTCGCCTCGGTCCTTCTTGCTTCCAAACAGTTCATGCTTTTTCTCACAATAATTAACCAACGTTGGGCACAGTCATCCTAGTATTCCTCCTAACACTTCCTTTGGTACAGCTCAGGGG